GCTCTGTTTAACTCTGCCATTGCTTAAAGCCTAAGCTGAGAATAAYTGAGCTGAAAAAAACTACAAATTAAAACCAACACCTCAAAAGAAGTAATTCTATTCTTTCTTAAAACATGGATTAGGCATAAAAGCCATAGCAACATTGTCAAAATGTAGTAATATTCAGTAATATACCAAGTGTAACGATACCACTATAGCTGGTAATTAATACTGTCAATTTAATACAGTATTTACTTTTAAGGATTTCTGTTTGACAGTAAAATAAACATCTTATATCTATAGGGCAACATGAACTTCTGCTTTGATTTTCTGGCTGCTAAATATGGCAGAAATTTTTGTAAAAATGTCAGAGCAAATGTGCATCTTTGCTGACCGTACAGTAGGAATGGCCACGGTGCAGGCTTAGGTGCAGGGAGTAGAGTGCAGGGCAGCCTGTAGCCCAGAGAGGAGAGGGAACTGGCACTTTTTTTTGCAGACATGTTATTTTTTTGTTTTGTTTTTGTTTTTTGCTTTACAGAAATTTTTATAAAGCAGCTACAAGATAAGCTGCTTATTTTTCCAGCTCATTRGAAGGAGGCAAGGGAGAGATAAGAAAATGACCCTAAAATCATGTTTGTAATCCAGGCTCAAATTATGGTGTTAGGAATTCTGTTGTACTCAACACAAAATCAAATTGCAGTTTTGCCTTGTGCTGGCCCACGTGGCTATAACATGACAAGTATCAGTCAGAAGTGCTGGTTGCAGATAGGAACTAAAATCAGCATCGATGGGAATGAACAGCTCTCTGAATAGCGTTTCCTAAAGAAACGCCCTGAGCAGGATTTTGAGACGTGTCTCGGATGACAAGGCAAATGCAAATATCTCCCTAGACAAATAATAAACAAAAATAACTGATTTTTTTGACCCACACATAGTTACTGATCGTCACACATTCAGCGAACTACTTGGTTCACTGTTGTATAGTATAGCACGTGTGTATGTATATGCCTTAATTTGTTTAGTRTAACAAATAGTAGAAAGTAATTTGTATTGTTTTAACATACAGGAAGGTTARAAGATTGTACATGAATTAAATGAAACTGCAGTTGTCCCTGTATTATTAGTGATGAAGGAGATTAATTTAAGTTTCCACAGCAACCGAAACATGCATGCAGCTAGAAATTAAAGGCAGCATAATATTCTATGAAACATTCATCAACGTATGCAATATATCTAAATAGAAATTGAAGGAAGGATACATTTTTATTTCCTTTGTTAAAATCATAATATTGCATTAATGCTGAGTTTAACTAGGGTTTTGGTTGGCAGTAGAGGAGCGATTTGCATCAGTAATTTAATAAAATAATAAATTTTGTATAAGTTAAGATAGTATTTCTATCTGTAAATGTTAAAGAAGCGAATGAAACTAAGTTCTGTGGTTTATAATTCCACAAACTCCCAATGAAATCGTAGATCTCTAAGATTGTCTAAAAATACACTCTATTCTTAGCATTGCTTATTTTTCCAGTRTTACTGTAATATTGAGGAGTTAATGAATGATTATTAGAATTTTAGTTTCATTAATATAATCATACACATGAGAATATACTAAAGGAAAGCAGAAAAATTTTCAGAAGTCTTATTTAAATTATCTTTGTTAGGTTATGATTAATACGTAATTTATTACTAAGATTACTCATAATTAATATATAATCTCACCTGTCTTTCAAGGCTCTTGGGTGAAAATGATAGTATATTAATATTGTGTGAAGACATATGCAATGGAACTTTCCCATTTAAAATATATTCCACATTATCTACCTAGACATAGTTGAATTTTCYCTTCAAAAGACCAGAGTAGCTCTGCATCAATCATTACGATGTTATGTCGTGGACTCTGGGGACGTGCTGTTCAGAGACTTTGAAATAGTCCTAGAAAAATCCCTTAAGTGAAAGGAAATGTGAAGAAAAGAAAACTTTAAAACTTGTTTTAATAATGGTTTGTTTTTCAGACTTCCAAAGGTGAAAAATCTAACTGTTTGATAATGTATCTTTGCATTGTAGCTCCCTGGGTCTCCTGCTCTGTTTTATTTTTAGGCAAATCAGTTTGTTTAAATRGGGATTTAGATAACAGAAAAATGTTGAACCAACAGGAACAAAACCTTTCACAAAAAAATCCCTTTGTAGTATCTCAGGTTGGATGTTTGACTTGAAATTGTTTAAATGAGGCTGTCTAAAGAGTGCAGGATCCTTCTGAGGGGGAGGGACTGTCATGTTGTCTTGTTTTTCCRTTGCTTCATGTGTATCTGTTAATGTAAAATCGTATTTGCTATTTCTGTCAAATGACTTTGCTGACAGTATCCAACATATGTGATCCTTTGGCCCTGAATATTGTGCCTGCTCTCTTTCTCTCTATATATGTATGTGCTCACAATCATAAATGGATATGCATATASGTATCCCACCCACTGCCTTATGATTACAGATGTTGTCTTTAAAGTCTGCTYGGGCAATTTCTGTAATAAAAGCCCTTTCATATTCTCCTTTGGGGCTAGGCAAGCATTTCTTACCTAGCTTCAGATATGTGCTTGACCACTGGCCAAGTCTACTCACTCCTCACCGCAAATCACAGGCAGAAAAGGAACAGATTTGTACCTCACTCCCAACTTCAYAGCTGCATTAATCTTTGTATCGCAAATTTTATCCTCTTCTTTGGGGATACTGTCAAACTAGGAGATTAATTACATCGAGATAGAAGGGTCGATGTAACTCCCCAAAGCTGGAATCTTTTCCTCCCTTATAGAGGACAATTTACTACTTTATTCTTTAAAATCAGGCTAAAATCTATGTATTTTCTGCAGCAATTACTAAGGTTCTAGGTGGGATTCTAAATTCTTCATCTCCCTCAAAGAAAAAGATTTTCATTGAGCATAGACTTAGAGTATCATGTTAAATGTCTTTCAGAAATGCTAAAGTGCAGTGAGGGCACTAAGTGTCTTGAATAGCTTTTAAAAAGAGTGTCAGGGATTTTCTACTTTTCCAATGAGAAGTTTGCTCGAGTCAGCAATGGTTAAACATTATCATTTATTTGTTGATGTTTTGGTCGCCCTGGAAAGAGTTCCAAACTGCATCACACTTGAGGACAACCCACTTAGAAGAGTTTCAGCATAGGAAGATCTCAGTGGCCTGTGGAAATTAATTGTCCTTTTGGAGTGGAGAAGGACCTAACACATGCACTGAGGAGTGCTACTGTGTCTAAGAAAGTGTTGAATAGATGACAGGTAAGATGATGTTCACCTGTGCAGGGAAATAGGTGAGGAAAGACTGGGAATACAGGAAGAAGAGAGGAAACAGGGAGAGGAGAGGAAAAAAAAAAAAAAAAAAAAAAAAAAANCAAACCCACCCTGTAGCAAAATGAACAGAAGGCAAAAAGATCCTAAATTCTGTGACAGGTGAGAAAAAATGGGAAGAATATGAGAAGCGGAGGAGAAAGGGAAGCAAAGTAAATTCTAAAGTATTTACAAATGTTTAGTGCCTTTTGGGAACTGAGCACAGTTCTATTAAGCGGAGTGATTCAGTTTGCCTCAGTTATTAAAAAAGCTGAAAAGATGTTCAGATATATAACATAGTGCAGTTCATCTGGGTTATGTTCACATTATTGATTGATGCCCAAAGACCAGAGTAAACTGTGGGGAGATGATGGTGAAATTTTGTAACTACCTAGAAAAGACAGCCCAGAGTCCTAATAATCTGCATCTCTGATTTGACAGTCGTGAGAGCAGAAGAGAGAAGATCTGAGAAGAGCTAAGTGCTAGACTGAGCCGGGTAAGAGTCCTCCGCTCGCCAGCGAGAACAGTTATGTTGGTTTGTACGTCAGCCAAAAGCAGTTTGCATCTGCTGAAGGTGTCCTGGAGACACAGCCGTGTCACCAGGACACRGGCAGAATGAGAAACTCTGYTGCTRCTGCCGAGCACTTCATCATTTTGTGCATCTCTTTCTGTTACAACCGATCTTTTAAGTATGCAACCGCCCAGTGGGTAAGAGTATTGCAAATAGCTTATGAGTGACTATAGAAAAAAGGATATATCCTTTTAAAAAGATGTTGGCCTATAAAAACAAATAGTTTATTATCTTCTGGATAACATCTCCTTTGCAAAACAGTTGGAATGAAAAAATAGACCCCTTAAGTGCGGACACTGTTACAATCTGTCTTGATGTCGTATGGATGGGGCTAAACTTTTACTGTGAGAAACCTCATGAAGAATTTTACATGGATAAAGCAAAAAAGCTGTGATTCGTAAAACAAAATAATGGAGATGAAACAGGACTTTTTCCCCTAAAGTTTTTCATAATTTTATGTAAATTTTAAGACAGTTGGGAAAGTCCTATTAGCTGTCATCTTTATTTCTAATACCTGTCTGCCTATAGACAATGGGGACACAAACTCAAGAGATTTGGTAAAAAGAGACATCTTGTTCCATTCTTGCAAAGTTGTTTTTGTCATCCTACCATATTTGGATCAATTTGAATCATTTTTGTATATCCAACCTATTTCTTCTAATTGAAATAACTGTAAGAAATATGTGATTAGAAGTAAAAGGAATGTACTTGCAAAATAAATAGCAAATTATGCCTCTTCTAACTAGATTTAGAAAACAGCTCCTATATCCCTCCCCTCCATCCTACCAGACTCATTTGTCCATCTTTGTCCTTTGTTTCTAGAGAGCAGAAGTCCTCACTCAGTTGGAAAAATAACAGTGCTACTTCCTAAGATTCAAAAAAGACTTGGACTACGGCTGCTGCACATACCCAGGTATCCACTTACCACTCTCTTGAGTCTTACCTGAATGTCACACAAACCATGGATTACAAAAAACAAAACAAAACCACAAATCTCAGAACAGCCAATCCAGCAGCCTGGTGCTAGAGTCAACCTTTCTCTTAAATTTTACTACCTTGATTTTTGTTCTCTGCTTTTGTTATATGATTTAAAATACGAAGCTTAAAACCATACAACTTACTGTTTTGTGCCARAGCCTGAAGCAGACAGTCCAAGCATCCCTCCAGACTATCTGCCGTGCTGTCGGTGGCTGTTATCTTCAGCTTTTTCAAGGCATCGCTTAGATTATCTGCTTGATTAACACAAAGAAAAGAGAAATTAGTGTTCTCATCTATCTGGTAACAGCTTTATAACCTCAATAGTTACTGTAAAACAAACAAAATCCTATTTCAATGAAAAAGGAAACTGTATTTTCAGGGTATAAAAAATCAAGAGTCAAAGGTTTGGGATGAAATTAAACTTTTCAAATTTAARTATATATTTATCATTCTTCATCTCAGAGGAGGATCCCAGGTGACAAGTTTATGAAATGCCACTGAACAACAATTTAGTCATCAATATTCTCTCAACCTAGTTTGCAATTTTGCAAGCATATTTGCATCTTCCATTTTTTTCATCAAGAAAAAGAGAAAGTAACTGAAAATACCATTTTCTACATATTCTATAGGGTTCCAACTCAACCTTTTTGCTTCCTTGGACAATATATTTGAGGCAATCTCAGTATCACTGTAACCCGTACTGCAGGGAAGCAGGCAGTGCCTTAAGCAGTGCAGACAGTAGCAAGGATCCTCATGGGAAGGATTCTCCATAYCTCAAGGAATCCTTGTTTGCAGATAGACATGGGGAAGATAAGGTGGCCCTTTTCTATTATTTGCAAAGTAAAATTAAGAAGGCTTAGTGGTTAATGACCAAAATTAAAATTTAGGTCATTGAGTATGTATACAGCCATGTATTAAAGGAAGGAAGCAGGCATTAAAAGCAAACCATTCAAATGCAGTGAGAAATTTCATGCATCATAGAAGTATTTTCCTTGAATGGCAGAATACTGTGAACTACTGATAGATAATGAAGTACGAAGCCTCTAGCAATAAGGCAATATTGTTCTTCATGAATACTCATCTGACTGAAAAATAAAATTAGGAAGGGAAAAACATAATCTCTGCTCATTTCTTTTTATATAGTTTATAAATTCAATGAGAAAGAGACAATTACCATGCATTTTAAGTTTCCATAATGGCACTAATAAAACAGTGTATGTATATTATGCTTAATGACGCATTTTGGGCAAAATTTTCAGATGCAACTACCTAAATATTTTTATCCCCAGGACGAGCAGTTCCATTTTCCATGGTACTCAGCATAGGCACATCCTGCCGAGCTACCTGGACACATACCTAACTTGTAGATGTACACTTCAAAAAATCAATCAAATATTGGAAAACCTCATGACTTTTAAAATCTSCTATCTAATTATGATGCAATATAAACAAAATTGCTTTCTGCTACAAAGGATTAGATACTATAATGATAAGTACTCTTAGAATAATGCACAGAAATTAAGTTAGAAACCAGCCGTCTGCCATCAGCTCCCAGGTTTGTGAGGCCTCAAGCCAAAGGTTCACCAAAAATAGGAGCAACTTTGCTGATGGTACCAACCCAGGCAGTTGTTCTGTWGATTGTGCTTGCACTGCACTTCTGGAGTTGCTTTCCAGATAAATAGTTCTTTTATTTCATATATCCTAATGATAGAAACTGGGAGGTTGGGGAGTGGGGTCTGGCAAAATGCTTGTCCTGGTGTTTTTACAGGAAAAAGTAGTTGCAAGGTGAAAAACATTAAGTGGAAGCTCTTATATTCTATTTCATCTTGCTGTACCTTTTTTCCCCTGAAAGCTTTTCTGTGAGTTACTCCCATTTTCAGTCACTAATTTATTTTCTGCTGATAAATTGTTCTTTCATCTCATAAAATCTGGTAGTTGATCATCCTTGTTCAGGGTCAGGGCCCCAGAAGTGCTGATTCTGCTGTGCAGGGATTTACAGAGCAGCCACGAGCAGAGGATGCAGCCTCTTTATACAAGAACCAACTTGCTAATTTGAGTTTGCAGCATTTTCATCCAGACCAGAAAGGGAGTCAAGGTAATAAAGCCACTTATCCCTGGAATTTTAAAATGATTTAGAATATTTTAGCTGAGTGTTTAGAAGGATAGTTTTCTATCTGCAGGGCTTTTTCTTACATATTATCTTTTTTTCCAGGATAGCTATTTTAAAAAGTTTTAAGAAATATTCTGTTTGAACATTTTAACGTATTCTGTATCTTTGATTAACACCTAGTATAGTGTTGTGGTTGCAGGGACAAATTTGTTGATGGTGGCTACGTTACTATGAGCCTTTAGTGAGTCCCTTGGCTGTCTCTTAGGATGCAACGAGACATCAGATTAAACAGAGAGAATTATGTCAATTTTATGGATCTTTTTGTGTTACAGTGACTTAAAAATCTTAATTTAAGTGTGTATACCTATGTGCTATATGAATGCAACCACTGGGGAAATGTAYATTCAGTGCAAGTTAAATACCATTCTGGTATTCTGGGGAAAAAATGTTCAAAGGATTAGACTTGAGCAAGTACCTAATTTTGTGTGCAGACTCTAATTTCCTAGAATTTCTGTACAAGCTTACCTATAAGGAAAAGCCAGCCCTGATTCAGCRCAGCTGGTCTGGACTAGAAGCGTATCCTTGAGGTTGTGTGACTCAAGAACATAGGAGCTGACACACAGTTGAGATGCTTAAACCACCTTGGGCAGCCTCTCGGGCTTCACCCTGCGGAGGAAGGACACATGGACAGGCCTGGTTGCCAGTGGGTCCTTGTGACCCCCTTGGGCTGCTGCTAGGACACAGCTTGGACAATGCGGATGTCAACTAAGCCTGGTACAGGCTGGCTTAACCATGGCCTGATGATGGGCAGGAGACAGGGCTGTCTGCACTGTGTGAGCCTGTCATCCCATTTCCTTCTGGGAACTGTTAGGAAGCTGAAATGATAAATGGTTTCATTAATGAATTAAAAAAAAAAAAAAAAGGAAAAAAATCCATATGTGGCTTAATGCTAAGATATGTATATCTTAGCATTCTTAAAAATTCTGAATGCTAAGGTGTGCATAAAAGTGCTAGCACAGAAAGTTCTGAAAAAGCAGCTGACTAGAAGCTTGGAGGAGACCGCTCTGCACTTGCCCTGTCCTTGGGGTGTTTCTGAACATTTGCTGCCAGTCCCTCACTGTCAGAAGCAGGACAGATGGGGTGCAGTGACCCACTGGCTGAATGGCATTTGCACTGGAATATTTTGGAGCAGATCCCAGGTTTACTGTGGAAGGAAAGTGGCCACACACATCTCACCAGACGGGACTTGACGGGGTCAGGCACTGGGACTCGCTTTGCAGATAACTTTACTAGTTCTCAGAAAATRCTGATAGATCATTAATGCAGAGTTCCTGCGGCAACCTGCTTTTACTTTTGTTTGCTCTACTTTTCTAGCATAGTAGCTAATTTTAATGAGATTGCCTATTTTTGTTAACAGTTCAGCCACTTCATTCTTAAACACTTTTTTTGAATTTTAAGATATATACCATCTGGTCCTGGAGACGTGTTACTCTTCCTTTGATCCATTTGCTTCAGCGTCTGTTCCTGCGACACCTCAGTCTCCCATAGAGCTTCATTTGGATTACCTGGCACTGCCGGTACCGATGGCGCGYGGCCACCTGGGCGGCAGAGCTGCTCGGCTCTTCTTGGTGGTTAACAGGTGAGCCCAGACGTGCCAACAACTACTCAGTGTGTATTCAAAACTGGGGCAGACCCCKAAACTTACCCAGCGTTTGGGTCATTTGGACTCTATTGCCAGTGCAGGATTTTCATTTGCCTACAGCCTGGTTTTAACTCTAAGGATAATCGGAGTCATGACATGGGTGGGTTTTTTTTTGTCCTTAATATCTTTGAAAATAGTTTGTGTGTTTTCTTTAATGTAGKCGCAGATATGCATTAATATGAATGTGTTTAAACTACTGCAAGCCACATTTTTTTATATGCTAACAATGTTTGGCTTATTACTTTTAAGGCATGAGTTGCAAAGGCTAAATTACAAGAAAGACACTTCAGAAGATTTCTTGGCAGATTTTATTCCTTCCTTGGGAAAATGTGATGCAGACTTAGAGATCTGTGTAATTTCTGATGAAACACTGAACATCTGSAGTTATCTAAAGCCCCAAGGAAACTCATCAAAATTCAGTGGAATCAACAGGCCCATCTTGTATTGATTTTTAAGGTGTTGAAAGCAAATCTTAAAAGGCCCTGTTTTCACTGGATCCCAAAAGAACGGAGAGGTAATTTCTTTTATTAATAAAAATACAGTGTGTTTGATCAAGACCATCTGCACTGATTTAGGTTTTTTTCTTTAAAGAAGCTAATAATAGAAAAAATAATTATTTCAAATAAGAGATACTCTTTTCCAGTTTATGGAAATAGGTCTTTTTGGGGTTCTCTATTACTATGAAGAGTAGAGAGACATATATGAGTACAGATTACAAAAAAAAAAAAAAAAAAAAAAAAAAGCATTTAATTGGCAAATAACTACACATTTCATTTTCACATATTTAGGTTTTTTTCCTGGTTCTGATCTTCACAGCTCTACACTAACAAAACCCTGGAGATCTTGAGGGCATGAACAGAAAATACTAATTAGGACTGGTGATAGGCAAAAGGCCTTTTAAATGGCTCATTGGGTCCTTAGCAAGCAAGAAACCTAACATCCTCTACAATCAAAGCTCAATCCACCGTGGTGGAGAAAGGCTCCGTTATAAGAAAGAAGGAAGCAAGCAGGTAAGACTCCTGTTTTTATCCTACGTGATGTGCTGTGATTTCTCTCCCCAGTGGCCTTGCATTTCCAGAAAGCAGCACTACAATTCAGAATGCAGAGCAAACAGAAGTGCAGCAATTTTTCCATGTATGGCAACAGCTGAGGGCCGGGCAGGGAACCCACGCTGTGTCTTTACCTAATAGAAACGTCCTCCGCCACTTTAGCTGCTGCCAGCAGTAACGCAGTGAGAGAGGCTGCTAAGCAGCCAAAAGACAAGCTCTGAGCATCGCTACAGCGCGAGTGTTTCACATCCTCCCACTTACATTACCCAGGGTCGCTAAACCTCTTTCTGGGAAAGCTGCAGAGGTAACGTAGCAGGGAGGTAGCAATCTTCCTACTCTGTTTACATGAAGAGGGAACCATCTCCTCTCCCAGGTGAAGAGATGGCACCA